TTTCAGGAACAGTTGCGAACAAGCAGTCATGGCCCTTGGATGTCCCCTTCATGCCTCGGCACAGTTGCCTTCACAGAGGGGAAGCCTGCAGAAGGCCGGGAGCCACAGTGCCCCTCAGAGTGGGGAGCCCACTTCCGCTTTCTGTACCTGCTCACTCTTGTGGGTACCATCACAGTAAGGAGGACGCTGGGTGGCCTTGCAGGTACACAGGGCCACTGTGCGGGTCTCTTGGGCCTTGAACTTGAGTGGGGAAAGGCCAGTGCCCTGGAAGAAGTGGGAGCCATCACAGAAGGGCTGGTGGGAGAAAAAGAAGTCAGTGGGGTCAAAGAAGGCTGACAGCCACCAATAACTCCAGCCCCGGGGCATCCAGCACCCTCTGTGTCCTCCAGGTCTCTCTGTGCATGCATGCACACGTAAGCACACGTACATACACATACATACACAGACACAAAAATAAAAATAACGTTATTTAATTGCTTCTATAGAAATACTGCCACAGGGGTTGGAGACAGAGATGCTTCAGAGATTAGAGGTGCTGGCTGCTCTTTCAGAGGACCTGGGTTTGGTTCTCAGAACCCACATGGCTGCGCACATGGGATGTAACTCATATGCCTGTAACTCCAGTCCCAGGAGATCCGATGCCTTCTTTGGGCACAGCACTCATGTTGAATATACATGCATGCTCTTACATATACACATAAAAAAAATCTTAAAAAAGAAACGTGGGTGTGTGTGTGTGCATGCATTTAATCCCAGCACTCAGGAGGCAGAGGCAGGTGGATCTCTTTTGAGGCCAGCCTGGTCTACAGATCTATGCAGAGAAACACACACAAAACATACTATCACATTCGAGGAAATATTAGAGGCGGGAAAATTCAACTTCAATGTTTGACACTGGCATTCCCCAAGACCTAAGGCTGCCGGTGTCTCTAGGCAACGGATAATCATTTGAGTCATGCCACAGACCTCTGCTGAACTTCCCCATGGCCTCACTATACTGAATGCTGAAGGGCAGGAGAGATGGCTCAGTGGTTAAGACTACTTACTGCTCTATCAGAGGATGTGAGTTCAGTTCCCAGTGCCCAAACTGGTTAGCTTACAACTACTAATAACCCTGGGTCCCAGGATCTGATACACACACACACACACACACACACACACGGAAGTCATAGAGCAACTGTGGGGAGTTGATTTTCTCCTTTTACCCAGTGGGCCCTGGGGATCATACAAGTCAAGAAGATGTTGTGACAAGGGCCTCTAGCCATTGAGCATCTTGCCTGTCCCATTCTTTGGTTTTTGGTTCGCAGATAAATTCTCATATAATCCCGGCCTACCTTGAACAGGCTATATTGCCTGAGGATGAACTGTCCTCCTAGGACTCCACAAATGCTAGGATTCCAGATGTGTGCCATCATATTGTTTATTCTGTGCTGGGGACAGACTCCAAGGCTAATAGACAAATGTTCTATCAACTGAGAGCTATATCCCCACCCTTAGTTTTGTGTGTTCTGATTTTTATTTTTTAATTGCTAAGTGAATGTCCATTGACCCATGAAAGTGATATTCTTGTGAATGTTCCCCAGTGTGAGAGAGAGCCCAGCAACCTAGCGCCTTTCCAGAGTGGGGTCAGTCTTGCTTGGTTCTGTCTGTGACAACCTGCCTGCCTGGAGAGCATTACTAAAACAGACGATGATAAAGACTAAGACCAAAAAGAGGGGAGAGGCTTTGTTAGGGGCAGAATGGAGGACAGACAGACCAGCGCTCTGCCTAAAGGGCAAGGAGCAGGCATGTGTACCTACCCCACCCAGTTCTCTGGCTGGCATGCCCTAGAAACTGCCCCACCCTCTGGAATATCTGTTCAAAGGCCATAGCAAATTTTTGGCAAAGTGAGCCTTGGGATGTGATTTCTCATAGGAGTCTCAGGATCAGGAACAGTGCAGGGTTCTCCAGAAAGAAAGTGAGGCTCCTACTATAATGCAGGATGGCATCAGACAGGGCAGAATCTTCCCAGCAGTGAGGTCAGAAGCCTGGCACATGGGCACAGATGCTGCCTCTGAGGAGGAAGAGAGGGAAAGACAGACAAGCCCCTGGTGCCCCAGAGCTGGAACCCAGAAGTACACAGGGAGGAGAGACTGCAAGGAGAGGGTATTGACGCCGGTTACAGCACGGGCCGTTACTGAAGGGACAAGATGGACACCGCACCGTGAGCTGGCCTTTTGCTATCAAGCCCTGCTCTCCACCCCCATTTTATCTCAGGTATATACAGAAAGATGGGAAATATGGATGGACTGAAAGTTCCCAGAATATACCATGCTGACCTCAAGCAAAGGAGGGGGATGAGGGGGCATATATGTGCTGCATCTCCTATCTATCCAAGCACTAACCAGGCCTAACCCTGCTTAGCTTCTGAGGTCAGGCTTGTTCAGGGTGGTCCAACTACAGAATGGTGTCGCATTTAAGTGAAAGGGGACAGGAATAACTAACTCACTTGCTTCTTGCTTCGACCACACACACACCATCTGTAGGTTTTCCCGGCAACAAGTTCCAACTTGATAGGTGTTTTCTGTGCCACCACGGGCTTGGCTGGGTTTTTGGGGAACCATCGGGCCTATGGCCAGAGAAGATAAGAGGTTAAGGGTCATCCCAAGCCTTGAAGTACTACTAAAAGTTTGCATGATCCCGGCTCCTTTTTTCAAACCCTCAAGCGACTGTCCTTGCCTCAGTCCAGAAGCCTGGCTCCTTGCCTTCTACCCTCTGGTCCACCAAACTTTTCCCAGAGCCTGCTGGGAACAGGGGTGTCTCCTGTCGCTGTCTTCGACATAGTTCTGAGATTTGGGGAACTGGGGGACTTATGTGCTGAGGGAAGAAGGCATTCGGTGTACTCACCAGCCAAGAGGAGATCTCCCGCCTTTGGCACAGCTTCAACAAGGCAGGCAGGCAGGTGTGATTTGGAAACAGAAAAATAAAATCAGTGGAGAAGGGAGGGCGCCGGAAACCCATCTGAGAAGGAAAAGACCACAGGCTAAGGGGGCGTGGGAGCGACAAAAGAGTTGGGGAAAGGGTCGCAGTAGAGGCAGGTCTTGGCATCCACTCGGCGATCCCTTAGGAAAAATGACTACCCCAGGGGAAACGCAGCCGAGGGAGGAGTCTGGCCCTGGCCGGGGAGGCGGGGCTGGACGGCCCGGGGTCACCAGAGAGGAAGCTCACCGAGGCGCCGCGCATGGCCACAGCGTGCAGGCTTGTCCCCACGCCGCGCATCGCCGCTCTGCGCATCGCTGCGTCCGGGTCGCCACCCCCTCCGTTCCGCCTCCCCCACCCCCACCCGGAAGACGCCACCCGACCCCGCGCGGGGAGGGGTAGGCCGAGCAGAGCAGCCCTGGAACTGGCAGGTGCCGCCCTGGCCCTGCCGAGCCGAAGGCAGTGTGTTTAAAAGCACACGCAGTGTGGGGATGTATCACCCAGCAGGGCTCGGATATCTGCATCTTCACCTGCACCGCATATTCTATGCATTCCGGTTTGAACGATTCCCCCAAGTACTTGAAAATAGGGTCATTGACCATACATGCCCTGTCCTCCACCCACAAGCCCCCACGGTTGTTAGCCCACCTCCTGCCCTTCCATAAGGCCAAACAAAGCAAGGTCTCTTTGAATTTTTTTTTTTTTTTTTTTAGTAAAACATTCTTTTATTAAAAGAACAAGTGCTGTTTACGAACTGCCCTTCGTACAAATAACATCCGTTATACAAAGATACAAGACCCAGGCTATGCACAATTCCAGGCTTGGAGGTCGCAAGGGAACACTGCCGCTTGGGCTGAGGATATAAAGGTTTCAGAAAGAATGAAAAATGAGCCCCTGGGTTTGCAATGTGTGGCTTCCCTTCCTTGCTCCCCTAGGAAGGGTCTGCTACATGGAAACAGGCTGGGATGGAAGGAAGGGAGCCCAAAGTTCGGTCTTTAGTGCCAAGTGGGCCTGGAGAAAGTGAACACAGGACAATGGGGGCCCTCGGTCCCCAACTCTTTAGTAGGTCAAGACAGGGTGGTCTGGTAGAAATTTTAAACACACCTGCAATCCAGGAGGAAGAGGCTGGAAGGATCATAGGGGCTCCCTGACCCCACCTTCCTCCAAGACCCTGGCGAAGTTACCTCAGTCCTGGGCACCTCTCCCCAGGGACCAGTTGCCTGCCCTTCGGCCCACAGCACTTTTAAAAGAGGATGTTGGAAAGCAGCAGGGGGAGCCTGTGTCTTTGAGAACCTGTCAGCATTGTCAGTTTGGGAAAGGAAAATGTGTTAGCCTTTCTTTGGGCTCCCCTCATTTGTCTAGGCCCTTCCTTAGGGTGGGCACTCCCTGGGTCTCAACCAGATCAGGGTACCTAGGGGCAGCAGTAGACCCAGGAGCCTGAGGGGGAAGCCCACAAGCTTGGATGAGGGAGAAGGAATGGGGAGATACAATTTATTTTTTTAAAGGCAACCCTTAAAGTGTCATTGTCTATGGAGAGGATTCATCAGCTCAGAGCTAAGACAGTCAGTGCTACATAGATAGCTTCCCACCATGGGCACAACCAAACCATCACATGCACACACCACACACACAGGACAGCCAGCCAACCAGCTGCAACTAAAAGGCTGGGCAATGGAACAGGAATAGCCAAACTAGGTACTGTGGCTCATGACTGCTGTCCCAGAGTACCTGTCCCTCCTAGGCTTAGAGCAGTCACCTGTAAAGCCAGCTCCAATCACCCATAAATACAGCTGAGTCCCTTCTAGCACTGATATCAACTAGCTGTAAACCCCACCCCTTGGTGGGCACAGACTCAGCATGCATTACTCACTCATCTTCTCACTGAGGGTGGTGACATTAAGATCCACTCATGCATTCTCAGACTCCACTTCCGCTCTGCAAACCACATCCTCCCCCTCCCCCCACACAGAGATGGCCCCAAATCTGCTTCCTTCCCCTCACCCCACCAAAGCTCTTTATCAAAAAATGGATCAAAGCCAGTCATGGTGGCACACACCTTTAATCCCAGCACACAGGAGGCAGAGACAGGCAGAGCTCTGTGAATTTGAAGCCAGCCTGGTCTGCATAGCAAGTTCCAGGACAGCCAGAGCTATATAAGAGTAGGCCTTGGGGGGGGGGGGGCACCAAGGCTGGAAGATGTGAGGTCATTATGGCCGTTCTGCAATACTCTGTTCCCTTTCGAGGGTCACGGTAATTTTCCCTGTGAAGCTGCACACCGAGAACTGTCACAGCTCCCCTCATGCCTCACTATAAGCAGCAATGCCACCAAGTAGTGGTGACAGCACACGCCTTTGATCCCAGCTCTCAGGAGGCAGAGGCAGGCAGATCTGAGTTGCAGGTCAGCCTGGTCACAGAGAGAGTTCCAGGACAGCCAGGGCTATACAGAGAAACCTTGTTTAAAAAAGAGCAGCACCAATCCATGCAAGGCCCAAGAGCTCTCAGCAAACCGAACCTGACTGTCTGCCAGCGCATCCTGGCCCAAAGTAGGAAAAAGCGCCTGAAAGTTGAGACCAGGGTTCTAGAGATCTGAGTGACCAGGGCCAGGGAGCAGCTGGCCCAGGGCACCTAGAACTCCTGTTCCAGACATCATGGGGTGGGCCTGGATGAGCAAGTCGTCTAGGAATTTGGAGAATCACTGGCTTTTCGACAAGGAGTTAAAGAGCTGAAAAGATGAAAATGATGTCTTTCTGATATTAAGTAGTTAGAAAAGTGAGTATTTCTGACGTCATCTCAAGTGTCCCCAAAAAATCCTTCCTAGTGCCAAAGAATTTGCCTCTGAAAGGTTCCCAACCCACCCTAATATCTTACAAAGTCTTACCAATGGGAATATTAATAGTATTTTCCATATCAGAAAAAAAAAAAACAGTTGAGCAGCACAGGCAAAAATATATCTGCACTACGTTTCTGTCATTGCCAAAAATATACACATCTTTTTTTTTTATTAAACGAAAAAAAAAAAAAAAAACAAAAACAAAAAACTCCCAAAAAACCCCAGAAACAAAACCCAAACAGAAACACACCAAAATGCACACATGCGAAGAGACCCACAGACGTGGACATTAGGGAAATCTGGAACTGACCCTCAGTCCCAGCCAGTGCAACCAAAGGGACGCAGACCTCCGTGGCTGCACTCCCAACGGCTTGGGCAGACTGACTGCCACCTACTACTACACCCTGGAAAAGAGCTGGTGGGTGAAAGGGACAGTTGTTAGTGTAAGTGGCTCTACTAGCTGGTGAAAGTGGGGCTTAAGAGGCAGGCTACGTCTGAGGGGGAGACTTTTGCTAAGAAGAAGTGGCATTTACCCCTTCCCTAGTCTCTTGTGCTAGGGAAGACCAAACTACTAGCGGGGGAGGAGGCCCTGAGGGGGCCCTGAGATGGAGTGGAGTCCAGAGGAAGGAAGTAAGACAGTATCCTGTTCAGAACCCCCAGCCCCCCAGGAATGCTCCAATACTGGAGTACTATAGTTCCTTTTAAGTTAACCATACATGCCCTGGAAAAGGACCAGAGCTGGTCAGGGGATAGACAGAGGTGACAAGAGCTAGGAACTCCTGCTCTGGTACTGGCCACTGAGTCTTCCCTTGCCCTCGGCAGCCCCAGGTCCAGAGAAAGAGGTGACAGACAGACAGGTTAAACAGACTGACCATTCAATACACACACACACTCACACACACTCAATCATACACACACTCACGCAGCTCCCTCTCCCCACCCTCGGCACTCCTCAAGCCAATAGTGCAAAAAGGGGCAGGGCACCAAGGACAATGAGGGTCTTCCCCCTGCCCAGCCCCATCCTGGGGCCCCAAGAGGTGCTATCCTGCCCTTCCTCAGCCCCCCACATCTGTAGGCTTTTCCAAGCTCAGCTTGTGACCCTTAGCGGGGAGGGATGACAAGAAACAGTCAAAGGATCCCTTCTGCTGGGAAGAAACTGAAGGTCACCTGGGACCAGCCCTTTTTCCATACGGAATTTCCACGCGGGGATAGGCCCAGGGCCCACCCACCCTCACCTTCCCCATCCAAGTGCTGACTGGTTTATGTGGTAGGTCCAACCAACTCTCCACTTCCTATGCCATGACCTACTTTGCTCTTTGGGGGGCCCCTAGGCATCTGCAGAGGACGGGAGCTCCTAGGCAGGCTTCGAGCCTGTCTTCCCCTGATCCGCTCTCCTGAAGCAGCCAGTGCAGTGAGGGAATGGGCCAGGTGGAAGGTCTCCCCTCCAATCCCTCTCCACAGCACCTGGAAGTCCAGGCACACACTCCCTGGGCATTAGCACAGGCTCTGGGCCTGGCTCTGCAGAGTCTGGGCCAAGGTTCCCATTCCAGGCAAGGCCCCTCTAGCCATATAGGGGTCAGGAGGGGCAGGGTAGAGTTAGCCTTTTTCCTGGCTAGCTGAGGCTCCTTTGTCAGCAGTCTGGAAAGACAAAAAGGAGACTTTGAGTGCTGGAGGCATCTGGCTCTAAGACCCAGTTAGGATGGGAAAGGCTGCCAGAGGAGTAGAGTATGGAACAGCCAGGCCTCTGCCTAGCCTAGTGTGTGTGAAGCAAGGAGGCACCTAACTTATACCCAAAACTGACTTCTTAGGCTCAGGGTAGTCCTCCAAGGAAGGAAGGAAGGCTTTTTCTTCTGTCATTGGCCCACCCAGAAGGTCATCTTTTTCTAACTGCTGTATACAGAAAAGAAATGGCCTTTTCTAATTGCTCCTCCCATTGGAAAGTTGTTTTCCTTTTAAAAAGAATTTTTAAAAAAATCATATTCAGTATGTATGTGTATGTGTGTGTACATGAGTGTGTGGACAGCAGAGAATAGATTTCTGGAATTAGAAATTTCTCTCCATCCACTATGTGAGTCCCTGAGATCAAATTCAGATCATTGGACTTGGTGACAAGCGCCCTTTTACACAGTGAGCCATCTCACCAAGCTGGAAGGTTGTTTTCTCCTAGTGGCCCTTTTATTATTGGTACCTGCTCAGGGTGGCCTTTCTTGTCTCTGAAGAAGGAAACCCCAAGGGGAGCTGAGGTCTTGCTGTCTGCAGCAGGCTACCTGGTTGACCTAGGGGATGCTGCCTCCCACTACAGATCTATCTGATGATGTCACTATAACCATCCTCCTCTGCTTGTCCCTTACAAGGGCTACAGGAAAGCTCCGGGCCCTTACTTACCCCTCCTTTAGGGCCACTCCCACTGGCATCTGCCCCAGGCAGGCTGAGAAAGGGGTTGGTCTGGGCAGTGAGGACTGGAGGTCCGCCCGCTGCTGCTACTGCCGCAGCCGCAGCTGCTGCAGCCATGAGACTTGTATTGCTGCCGAGTGAAGGGGCCACCAGGGCTCCAGCAGGCAGCAGGGGTGGAGCTGATGCGGTGGGCAACAGGCCAGGGGTGCCCGCGGACAGCAGTGGGGCGGAGCTTCCAGCCAGTAGACTGGCCATGGGCAGCTGGGAGCCCCCAGCCATCTGCAGCCGCTGTAACTCCCGTTTCTGCTGAATCTGCTGGATCATTTGGTAGACCACAGTCTGGTGCTCCTGCAAAGACAACAGACCGGCAGATCACCGGCAGTGGGTCCCTGCTGTTTCTCCCTAAGGCTGCCTGCCTTGCCAGACCAGGGCCCCTCATACTGCAACCATAGGGCCCACGGCGGAAAGACCCACGATTCTGTCTCTACTCTTGCACTCTAGGCCTCCACCTCCCTATATAGACAAGAAAATGACTACAAGTACCTGGGTGAGTGCAGATCGTAAACATCTCTAGCCCTGCCCACTGTGTCAGGTCCTCAGTCCCCAAGACAACCACAGTGCTACTCCAAATGGAAAGCACAAAATCAGGACAACAGTCACTTCCCTTTTTTTCTTTCCAAATACTGGTTTGAAAGACTTAAAAAAAAAATATCAGGGGGCTAGAGAGATGGCTCAGGGGTTAAGAGCATTGGCTGCTCTTCCAGAGGACCATGCTTTAATCCCCAGCACCCACATGGTGGCTTACAACTGTCTGTAACCCAAGTTCCTGGGGGATCTGGCACCCTCACACAGACAGACATGATGCAGGAAAAATACCAATGCATATAAAATAAAAATAAATTGTTAAAACACACACACACAAAGATATCAAAACTGGTGGCAGAGAAGGCTCAGTGGTTAACAGCACTGGCTGTTCTTCCAGAGGACCCAGGTTCAATCCCCAGCACCCACATGACAGCTCACACAAGTCTGTAACTCTAGTTCCAGGGGATCCAACACCCTCATACAGACATACTTGCAAGCAAAACACCAATGTACATGAAATTAAAATAAACAAACAAACAAACAAAACCTGGTGGTACTCTGGAGGCAATAGGCCAAGGCAGAGGCAGAGGCAGGAGGATGGATGCGAGTTCCAGGACAGCCTAGTCTGCATAGCCAATCAGAGCTAATGAAATACTGCCTCAACAGCTACTCTTCCAAGGCACCTGGATTTAAGTCTCAACAGCAACAAGGTAGCTTTCAACAATACATATACTTCCAGAGAACCTAATGCCCTCTTCTGGTCTCTGTGGGCACTGCACACATGTGGTACACAGACAAGGCATAAATAGAAATAAAATGGAAAGGAAGAGGGCAAAAAACTTTGTTTTTGAGGCAGGGGCCTATTTTAGTCCAGGCTGGACTCAAACTTGGTATGGAGCTGATAATAACCTTGAACTCCCGATTCTCCTGCCTCTCCACCTATCCACCTATCAAGGTATTGAGATTACAGCCATAAAACATCATACCCAACTATTTTTTCTGTAACTTTAAAAGGCATTTATTTACAGTGTCTCAAAAACCAAAACAAAGTCAGGCATGGTGGCACACACCTTTAACACCTTTAATCCCAGCACTTGGGTAGCAGAGGCAGGTGGGTCTTTGTGAGTTCAAGGCTAGCCTGGTCTACAAAGCAAGTCACAGGAAAGCCAGGGCTGTTACACAGTGAAGCCCTGTCTTGAAAGAAAAAAAAAAAAAAAAAAAAAAAAAAAAAAACTAGCTGTCTCGAAAACAAACAAACAAAAAGTAATCTGTCAAAGAAATTTTGTTCTTATTTCTGTTCCCATGCAGTAATCAGTTAAATTGCTTCTCCTATTGAACAGTTTTTAAAATTACATTTATTTTGTGTTAGGAGGTGCAGTTGGTGGTCGGAGAATGTATTCTACCCTCCTATACCATGAACAGCAAGGCCCTTTACCTGTGGAGACATCTTAACAGACTTTTTACTATGTGGGGTTTTTTATTTTGTTTTTTTTTTTTTTTTTTTTTTTTTGTTTTACTTCTTTAAGCCACAAGTCTTACTCTAAAGTCCTGGGTAGACTCAAACTCATTTTGTAGCCCAGGCCCACCTTGAATGCATGGTTATTCTCCAGCCTCAGCCTGCAAAATGCTTAGACTACTGTCACATCACACAGCATGTCCGGTAACTGTCTGTTTGCCTTGCTGGGGGAGACACAGACAAGGACCTGGTGCATGCTGCGCACCTAAGCCACACTCTGGCTTCAGTCCCTCATCTTTAAAAGGTGACATCACTTCTCCCCAAAGAAGAGAGGGCACAACATGTCAGACCCCAGATTTTGCTTGAGAGAATGTCACCTGTTCTGACCTTTCCCCTGCGACCCTGCAGGAAGGCCCTGCAAAGCTCAGTTACTGCACCTGCCACTCGCACTACAAAGTGACCCAGGGTCTCCCACGTGCCCACAAGCCCCACGGGTTCAATGCCACCAGCCTGAAGCCCCTTCCTGGATGACTGTGTTCTTGAAGGTAGGCTCTTTGGGTAGAGCCAGCAGGGGATGGCAAGGGAAGGGTCACTCACTGGGGTCAGCTGTGGAGAGGCCAGGAGCTGCTGGAGCTGCTGGAGCTGCTGCTCTTGCTGCTGAAGGAGGTGCCTCTGCTGCTCTGTCAGGCTGAGGCAGGTGTAACACAGATGACGAAGTGCACGTTAAGTGTACCCCACACCCATGAGCTCCCACACTCCCTCAGGCCCAGACAGATGGGCAACCTGTCCAGAAGACTAACAGTAGGGACACGGTTAAAATCTAGTCCTCTGAACTACTCCTGTCCAGATACACTCAGGACTAAAGTTCCAAAGAATCCCTGAAGTCAACAGACTGTCAGGACTATAAATCCGATAGGGTCAGAGGGCATTCCCTTCTTTTGGGGGGACAAAGGTGTTGGATGGAGCATCCCTCCCACATCCAGCCTCCCATACCCTTCCCTAGGGTTGAGCTCTCCCTCACCTGTTGAGACAACCTGGCAGCTGAAGCGTGGGGGCCCCGCCAGCCTGGCTCAAGCTTGCAGGGTTGGGAGCAGCAGCCCCATTCAAGCCCCCTAGAAGCCCATTGAGGGGCAGGCTCCCGCTGCCCGACAGCCCACCTAACAGCCCCTCAGCCATGGGCATGGCCCCCAGCCCCGCTGCTCCGGGTGCCCGGCCCAGCCCATTCTGCGGCTGAGGTGGGAGCGGGGCAGGGGCCCCAGGCAGGGCCAAGGGCAGAGTAGCAGGGCTCTGCTGGAGCAAGGGCAGCGGTGGAGGCGTGCTGTGGAAGGACAGCGATGAGCTGCTGCGGCTCGGGCAGCCTGAGTGTGGGTCCTGGGGAGGGAGAGGGAGGGGACAAGTCAGAGGGAAGGGGGCCAGCCTGACTTTTCTGGCCCCCAGCCCAGTACCCACCAGCATTCTCCTGGTGCAAAGCCCCCTAAACCTCCAGGCAACCTGACCCAACAGCAGGGCCCATTATTGAGGCCCAGCAACCTTTGTTATTCTGATTTAATAACAAACAATGGTAATGGCACTGGTTTTTCAAGGGACCAGGTCCAGGGGTTAGTACTTGACCTGTACTGCCCTGTTATTTCCACTTTGGAACTCTAACTGGAGAGAGAGGCTGCCCAGGTTCAAATTCCATCCCCACACCTCAGTGCCTTGGGTAGCCCTGGGTTCAACCTCTGCCTTGGTTTATGTATTCATGCAGTGTGGGTGATAGTAACAGCCATTCCAGAAGTTACTGTGAAGACTAAAGAAACTCATGCTTTTAAGTTACAGGGAAAGCTTGCAACTAGTGTTATTTTTATGATTATGACTTCCCTAAGTCACAGTAAATGGCAGAGAAGAAGCAAGCACCCGGCTTGTTTGATTCCAATAATAACCACAACATAACAATAGCAACTGCTATTCCAACCGCCACCAATTACACAGGGATTAGTTTGTATGAGACACTGTAATAAACCCTTCACAAATGCTTCTCAACACTCCATCCCCAAGACAGCCTTCCCTCACGCTCCTTTAGCCCTTAATTGAGCTCATCTTTCTATTTCTCCTTTGCAATTTGTTGTTTTCTTGGGCTCAGCCCATTTTCAGGAGGCCTGAGTCTACTTTATTCACTGACTGCTTAATCAGTATCCCGTATTAAGGAGGCACCCCATACATATTACTTATTTAAAATAACAGATAACCAGAAGAGAACCAGTTGTTCAACCAATCCCTTCAGTGGCCAGCTTCCAACAGCTGCTGGGTACTAACTAGACTGAAAGTACCCTCTCCAGTCCCTCCTCCCTGTCCCCTCCTTGAAGTGCCCACCTCGGAAGACGTGGACAGGGAATTGTCCAGGCCAAGGCTGTTCTTCCCTGGAGGGCTCTTGCTGGTGCTCAAGGAGTCGTTGCTGCCTGCTAACGGAGGAGATAAGAGAGGTGCAACGGGGCTAGTTCAAGCACCAGGCAGGAGTTCCCCTCCCCAGCCTGGACTGGATCTCTCACCTTGAGGAAGCAGCCCATAGGGCCCTGGGACAGGGCCATTAGTGACAGTCAAGGCAGCAGGCAGAGCGGGGAAGGGCACGGAGAGCTGTACATTGAGGATCTGGAGTCGCTCCTTCTTGGCTGTCAGGCTCAGGATCTGCTCCTGCAGCCGCTGGTTTTCCTTCTGTAGCGCATGCAGGGCCTTCAGCATCTCCACAACTTCAGAGAGGGGAGGGAGGAGGAGCCTGAGGTTATTGGTGCAGCATGCAGCAAGGAGGCAGGGCCAGCGGGAGGGACAGGGTGACCCCGCTAGCCGGAGGATGGCTCTGGGACACAGCGGTCTGAGGACACTTCAGGAAGGCCCTGATGCTCCTGAAACTGAGGGGAATGGGGACAGCCTGTGGTTTGGTTACGGTCTGTGCCAGAAGGCCATGGGGTAGAGAGAGCATGAAGAATGCCCAGAGCACCACTTAGGCAAGGTTAAAGATGAGTCCTGGGGCCACTGGCCAGGCTAATAATAAATAGGCTTGAGTGAAGCCTTGCAGAGAAGGGGAAAGAGTGGCTGGGCCCCCATCCCTGTGCACCCCACTTACTGTTGACACCAGCCTCTCCATCACCCTGCTTCTCCAGCAGCTGCTCCATATTAGTTGTCCCTGGGGCTGTGGCGTCTAACTGGCCACCCCCACAGGGTGCTGATGTTGTCTGGTCAAAAAGTGCAGGGAGGCTACTGATGGGAGACCTGTGTCCGGAGGAGAAATGGGCTCAGGCTCAGCTAGCACCCTGGTTTCAGCACCTACCCATCCCCACCCCACCAACAGGAGGTCCCCAGCCACTGCCACCCACTCTCCCCTCCTCACATGGAAGAGAGACTCTCCTGGGGGGAGGTCCCGTGACACCGGAAGCTGCAGTCTTCTAAGTCTGGCTCTTGGAAGGAGAAGGGATGGCAAGGATCAGGGGGGAGGAGGGGCATCTGCCTCAGGACCCTCCCTGGGAAGTGGGCACTGCTTCTAGAACCTCAGTGCAGGGCCCCTTCCTCTGTACCCCCCTCAATCCTAGCCTGGTAGCTCATGCTGGCAATAAGCTGAGCATGGCACCCCCATCTCAGGGAAGCTTTCTTCCCTTTCTACAGGGTTCCTGCTGCTGCTGCTGCTACATCTTCCAGTTACAAAATCTGAGGTCAAGACAAACTTGGATCAACGGAACAGACACTGGCTGTGTCACCTTGAGATGGTAACCAGCCTCTCTACAGCATTCCTCCCAGGATTAAAAATAAGGTCATAAAGGTCACGTGCTTAGCTGGAGGGCTCAACAAGCACAAAGCAAGCCCTTCATCGCTGTAGCATCCTAATTAGCTTCAACTTTTTACATTCATAAACTCAGATGAGAAAACTGTTGGCTATAGTGCGCATGCACACACGCACACTCTGGATTATAGAAAACACACCAATCTTATCCAACTGGATCCTGAAACTAAAGTCAGATTTGTTTTCTTAGACTAGCTTACCTGCACTGGCAGCCTACAGCTAAGCCCCAACCCCAGGCTGACAGGCCTGGTGTCTTGTTCAGCTCCCAGGAGCTGAGTCTCTAGGAAGAAGGTTGGGAGAGCTTGCCTCCTACCCCCTTAACTCCTAAATACCTGGAGAGCAGAAAGCCCAGCTGGCAGGACCTCTGTGACCCCCGGACCAGGGGAGATCGCGAAGTACACTGGGCTGGCCCAGGATTGCCTGAGCTTAATCATTCTCTGCCTCTCTGCCTGCTGCGTGAGCAGGCCACTTCTCTTACGTGGGATGGAGCAGCACTACCAAGCCTGGCCCTGCACTGCTTTTCCTGCAAGGTGCCCGTTTGGTAGTGTCTGAAGTAAGTCTGTTTAGACAGAGTAGGCAACAGCTAGAGGGAGAGGATGCTCATGATTTCTACAGCAGAAAAGGGACCAGGAGCAGGGGCCAGCATACCTGTGTGGCTATTCTCGGCTTGGGTGAGGAGGGGGTTTACAGTCCCCATGGGGGTTCCAAAGATGTGGGAAGAAGGGAGACTGAAGGTAGAGCCAGCCAGAGAAAACACCTGTTGGGAAGGGAAGGACGGACTCTGGCCTCTGTGCTTTTGGTCTACCACAGTTGACTGTGTGGCAGGAAACGAGGCACCCAGGAGAAGAGAGGACCACAGGCGAGTGCTGCCCCCATCTGCCCAGGAAAGGCGAACAGGTCTCACCTGAGTGGTGGAGATGGAAGCAGAAGAGGATGGGAGGGTGCTGGGGAACGGGGAACGGCTGAGGCGGGGCAAGGCTGAGGTCCCTGGAGGCCCCAGCAGGCTGGAAGAGAGTGGGGTGCTACACACAGCCCGCAGCATCCCTCCACCATGGGAGATGGGGTCCTTATTACTGGTGTAGATTCCTGAAGGCACAAAGATACAGAGGAAACCCTAAGGCCACCTACCCAGACTCCTCCTCAGACAGTGAAGGCAGCCCGTCTTCAGGGAACATCTCATGCCTGGCTGGGACTGAAGCCATTCAGTTTACTACCCTGAAAGTCCTGCTGGTGTTTACCCCAACTTCTATGTACAGAAGACATCAGAGGGAGCTTCTCAGAGGTAATGCCGCCTCCATTCAGCCTGTTTCTCCCTAGCTACATTTCTCTAACTTTCACATGTATGCCCCGCCCTCTCACAGGACTGGCCAGATATGGAGATGGTCTTTAACTACAGGAGTCACTAACCTGCCCCCAGCAGAGGGGATTCCAGGCTCAGACTGGGCAAGCTTCCTGAAGGCCCAAAAGTCCGGGAGGCCAGACCCCCAAGGCCAGAGCTGACCAGGGAACCCCCGGAGAAGGGTGAAGCAGCAGTGGCAGTAAAGCCAGCCAGCTGAGCCCCAGCAAGGGAGGCAGCCGGGCCCGAGGCACCACCGTCTTTGCCTCGGCCGCCCTTGGGACGGCCTGGCCCATGTCGGCTCCTCTTGCTGGCTTTGTGCTTCTTCTCCTTCAGTCCTGTCTCAGGGGCCTCCTCAGCAGGTCCAAGGGTGGCACTCAGTGCAGGCATCCGCTTATGGGTACCTGCAGAGGCCCCGGCCCCGGAAACATGGGGAGACTTATAGTCCCCGGGTGAGGGGGCGCGGGCCCGGCTGGAGTTGGAGGTGGTAGAGAAGCGCATGATGGGCCCAAAGCCAGAGAAGACCACCTTCTGTTCAAAGAGGTCAGCCTTCGGGGGCTCAGGGACAGTGGGCGAGGCAGGCGCTGGCGGAGTGGGGGCTGTGGGCTTGGAGTACTTGTCTTCCTCAGGCTGCTCCAGCTTGGGGAATGCTGCGAAGTCAGGAGAGCTTTGCAAGGATGGGCCTGCAACAAAGGAGAAGAATTACTGCTGGACCACCTCCCTCTTTCCCTACCAGCAGAAAGGAGAGCACTAGGTAGGAAATTAAGCCTTTGTGTGTCCTAGGTTAGCAGCACCTGCTGGAAACAAAACAGGAGGAAAGCAACTTCCACCTTTAAGCAAATTACTGCTACATTAGCACTGGCTGGGGACAGGCTCGCACTCTTTAGCACAGGTTGGTCTCAAATTCAGGCAATCCTGCAGCTCCCAAAAGCTGGGATTACAAACCTCTGCCTGAACTAATGGCCCTTTTGACACAAAAGCAGGGGACATTACTGGGGGGCTAGAGGGGTTGGCCCTGTAAGGAAAAGAGGAGCTCTGACTTAAGAGGGAAAGGAAGGCCCTAGAGAGGAGGCTCATCAGTTAACGAGCACTAACTGCTCTTCCAGAGGATCTGAGTTCAATCCCCTGCACTCACATGACAGCCCACAAGCATCTATAACGATAGCTGCTAGCACAGCTATCTATAATAGGTTCTGACAAGACCATCTACAAGGATCCATTGCCCTCTCCTGGTGTGCAAAGTACCAATATACATACATAAATAAATCTTAAAAAAAAAAAAAAAAGAGGGAAGGGTAGGGAGCCCACCTGGGAACTGAGCCACGGGGTGGGCGTTCCCCTGCCTTGTTACCCCACCTCAGTTTGTAAAAACAAATGAGAGATGTAACTATCAGGCAAGGCCCTTGCCACAACAGCACAAGTCAAGATGTTCCCGCTCCCACACTCCTTCAAGACGCCCAAACTCACCTGCAGGCTGAAAAGACCCCCCAGAGGAGGAGGAAGAGGAAGAGGAGGAGGAAGAGGAGGACGTGGAGGTAAAACTGCTCACACCTTTCCCACTGCTCAGTTTCTTCCCCTTATGACTCAGGCTATGGCTGGAAGACTTCTTCCCCTTTGAGTCCCTGCTGCTCTCGGAGGTCTCCTGAGTGCCGCCCTCATGGTGGGAGGAAGTAGTAGCTGAGGAGACCTAAGGGAGAGGCAAAAGAGGTTCATGGCCAGCTGCATAGTCCAGCTCAGCCTGACTTGGGAGTGAGGGCAAAGGCACAGGACCTGGGCTCCACTGGAGTCTCCTGGGAAGGCTTTCCAGGCAGGGAGCCTGTGGGAGGAAGGCAATAGAACAGGGAGACAGGAGGCAGCTGAGGAATTCTAGGGAATGTCCTGAACCCAAGGTCTCCGTCTTTGCCCCAGGACTCAAGAGAGAGATCAGTCCACACTGCGCACTGGCCCGCTCATCTAAGGTTCATTACTCAATACTTCTGGCCCTCCAGCTGTTTGTTCCCACTCACAGCCACCTGGCTTTGGCCCATCTCTGACCACTGCAAGCTCTTGTTAGATAGCCATGCTTGCACACCAACCCTCCACAGGGCAGCCTGTCTTTGCTCCTCCAACATCCAGCTAGGAAGTCCCCACTCTAGGAAGCCTCCCTACACACCTACGTGAATGACCATTCCGTCTTACTCTCGGGCCGCTGGAGACCACACATGCATGTCAGAGGTTGCTATGCTGCCCTGAAGTGAAGTACACTGTCCTATGCCTGAGGTACAATAACCTGGGACGGCAGGGCATTGGGAAGTATTGGAGGAGCACAGCTGTGAGCCTAGAAGGCTCTGCCCTCCCTGCCTGTATGTTAGTTGTTTAGCCTCGGGACCTGGTTCTACTGCACCATCCTTAGGATGGGAGTCCGGGGCAGCTCCATGCCCGAGAAAGAAAGAGAGAAAGAGAGAGAGAGAGAGAGAGAGAGAGAGAGAGAGAGAGAGAGAGAGAGAGAGAAGGGCGTCAGTAAATAAGGAGTCTGATGGTGGTGGCTGTTATAGTACCTAGCAAAGGCAGCTCTGGGTGCTGGCTAAGAACACAGCCCTTCAAGCCAGACCACTTTGGCTTAACACTTTACCACTAGCTGTGTGCTTCTGGACAAGTTATGTAACTTCTCTGTTGGCTCAGCTTTACTGAGGAAGTGGGAGTGACTAGGTGCCTACCACACTGGGTTATTTTGAGGAATAAATCCCCCCCCCTTGCCCCTTCTCTACCCTGGCTCCAAAAACAGTCTGGCCTCTCTGTAGTTGTGCCTCATGTACCTGGGAAGGTGATTTTCTTTAGGGTGGATAGATACCAGGTATTCAAACTTGTGCTCTAGGAACAAATGAGGGGGAAGTGAGAGCCACCCTGTACTGCTACCCCTCCCTGGGCGGAGCCCTCGTCTCTGTCTTCCTTTGTTCTTTCCTGCAGCTGGAGTTCTGAAGGAAGCCAGATGTGGTTCGGAAAGCCACGGAAGAGAAGAGCTGGGGGAAGGGGGCTTAAATGTTGGGATGGTTTGTGGGGGGGGGGGATAGGCAAAAACTCTCCAGCACGTCCAAGGGTTGGTAGAGGACCCCAGAGGTCTTTCTAACTGCCTGGAGGCTCCTGGAAAGGTCAGACCAGCTTTCCCAGGTGAGCCCAGGGAAGCAAAGCAGGAGGGGAGTTTCTGGGGCAGTTGCCACAGCAACATCACCCTGGAAACCTGATACCTGAGCCTCCTGCTAAGATGCCCAGTGCCCTGCCACCGTGTGAGGAATGGAGGTGCCTAGCAGTAATGGGACAAGGAGTGCTTTCTCCAGGCCCCCAGGGGACTCACATGGATCTGCTCTGGCTTGGAGTAACACTCACTGGCCTAGGGTAGAGCCTGCCCTGCCTGTTGCTCATTCAGATGCTACCCATTTCTAGAGACTGCTGAAAAGGGTGGGTGACTAGGGATTTCAGGGCATTGCCAGAGCCTGCTCCCACCCGCACTCCCACCCTGCATCAAGAGGGACCTCGAAGTCCTCCCAGTGGTAGGAGTTCTTAGCCTGTCTGTCCCCCAGGGCTGGGCCCCAGAGCATGAGAAACAAGCCTGAAGGCGATACATCTGCTCTCCAAAGACAGGATTCCAATGCCGAGCCTCTGCTTGGACAAAGGTACCCACAGGGCAGCTTGCAGGCAGGGAGTCACCCCACCTTACCCTTAGGATGTGTCAGGGCTTGCTGGGCAGAGGGTGCTCAGGCAGGCTCCTGCTCACCTTGACCCTTCTTCACACTGCATCTTACTCACCCTCAGAATAGCACCCCAGCACCCTGAGAATGAGCAGTGGTACCTTATCAGCAGTGGGGACCACAGGCGGGGTGAGGATGCTGGCAGGGGACTCAGGTCGCTTCTTGTGCTTCTGTTTAAGGCGTTCTTTATCCTTCCGACTCTGGGGAGGAAAAGGTGAACAGATACTGGTGGACAGGTTGTTTGAAGGAGGTTAACCATGACATGTGGGTACGGGGAACTGAGCCCCTCTTCAGAGTGGGGCTTGTGAGTTCTCCCCCTCTACAGAGGGATGGAAGACTCCAGCTGGACAGGAGTGGCTCAGGCAAGATCCTCTGAGAGCCAAGAGCCCCTCCCCCATCTTCCCTCCTGCTAAAAATAGCCTGTCCCATTATCGTGCCAGTGACAGAGCGCCACACACATGAGCAGGCACTCACAAGGGTGTCCCCCTGGTACACCGAACAAAAGCAGGCACTTCTTGGCACGGGGCACAAGGGGGTAGGCTAGAGATGTGTGCAAACATCTAGGGTCATAAAATTGGAGGTGGGGACACTGTCATGTCGTGAGGAAACAGAGACTACACAGACACAGAAGTCAGGTGCCAAACTCTGAACCTCAAGTGCACTTCCTTAGCTCCCTCTTCAACCTCAGCAGAAGGTCTTGGCACCTGGTGGGAGTCTCTAAAAGAGAGAGCTACATGACACAGGGCAGGCCTTCACCTTCTTCTGGCCCTTCTCATGGTGGGTCGGGTGCTTCTCCTGCTGAGTGGACGGTGAGGCCGACCGACTTCTCCTGCCAGTCAGGAAGCTGTTGCTGCTGCTGCTGCCCCCTGTGCCGCCTCCGCCACCACCACTGGTACCACCGCCGCCGCCTCCTCCACCACTGCCTCCTCCTCCTGTTCCTCCTCCTCCCCCACCGGAGTGACGGGATGGCTTCTGGGGTAGAGATGGAGAGGAACTGCCAAACCTTTTTCGTGAGCTTGCGGAAGGTTCCTGAAGGTCACATGATCCCAGGGCCAGTCCCTCTGCCCCTGCAGGTCACCCATTTTCTGTGACAGTCTGGTCAACCTAGAAATCCTACAGCTTCCCCAGCTGTCTTTTGCTTGTTTTGTTTGATGAGACAGTTTCTCTGTGTAGCCCTGGCCCTCTTGGAACTCAGCTCTGTAGACCAGGATGGCCTAGAACTCAGAGATCCGCCTGCCTCTACCTCTGCTGGGATTAAAGTCCAGCACCACTGTCTTAACAATGTACAGATTCAATCACAGAGGCTTAAATGAGGCATGTACCAGCCTGAGCCCCCAAGGTACAGTGAGGTTGGGGGTGGATCTGGACCCGGGCCTCTTGCTACACTCCAGAATGCTCTCCTCAGAATGCTCTCAGCAGGCGGAACCACACAACCCATTCCCACCTCCTTCCCTTAGAAAAGGGGTATGCAAAGGAGAGTCTGGGAGCCCTTGCTCTTTGGGGACTGTATTTCTCTCCAGCCACCATATCTTCCTCTTCTGATCCTGTGTCTCTTCTCTGTCCAGCTAGATCCACACAGATCTGCTGCCCTGAACTGGGGGCCGCAGGCAATGAACACCAAACTGTCTCCCCGGGATTGTCCCCCTTGTGCCTGATCTGATGGCTTTACCCATTCCAGGCTTGCAGCGGCTCCCTAAAATGACCAACTACTCCCCACTGCCAAAGCCTAGGATTAATTTCAAGCCTCCACAGCTTTGGGCCCTGCTCCTACTTCATCAAGCTCCAGATCTTTCCTCCCAAGTCTTTCACATCTGGACCAGTCTATTCTGGACACCCACAGAGGCAGCCTCAGCCTTGTAACCTCCATCTGCCCTTGCCACCCTGCCTGGGGACCAGCACCAAATCTGATCGTCTCTACCTAGTGCCACCTGCAAATGCAACAAAGCTCCCGACCTTGCCCTAAGTGGCCATCAAACTCTAAAAGCACGGCAACTATGTAATTTATGAGCAAACCAGGGCACCGCTGAAAAGAGAAAGGGAACTATTAATCATTACACCAGCACAACTGGCACAAAACAAGATGGTCTGGGGTGAACCAAGGTGTGCACCCCTCTCGGAGGCCAGCTGCCTCCTTCCTGACATCCCCCCACACCCCGGGATCCACCTCTCCCCACCCAGTGATTAGCTCCAGCCTGGATCTTATTTCACATTCAACTTGGGCTTTTCGACCACTCCACTCTCGTGTTTAGACAAGTCCGCCTGCAGCGACTCCTGCATCCAGCCCTGCCCCTCTGGTCCCTCCGCCACAGCCCCTGTTCTTGCAGCTGCCTCTTGACCCAGCTTCATGGTTGATGCCAGGGTAATCTGTCTATAACACAAATCTGATCATATTACTCTCTGGCTTAGGAGTTCTCCAAGCTGTGGCCTGGGGCACAGAGTCCTGGCTGCAACCTACCTCTACAGATAACATCCCTGCCCAGGGAAATCTCCAAGTCTGCTCAGCCATGGGAGCCTGCCTCATCTCCCTACCTCAAGAACCCTACCTGCCTGGTCTCATCAAATACCCTTCCCTCCTGCACCAGCACCGGTTCCTCCTCACCTTAGGTTCCTCCTCGTCTTAGGTTCCTCCTCGTCTTAGGGCTTTGTCTACTCCTGGCAGGGCTGGCTGATGAAACTGTTATCTTTGAACCCCACCCACCAGCTGTGAGACAAGCTAAGTAATATTGGGGACTTATTTACATATCTGTGAACTAGGGCACATGCAGCACTTTTGCAGCAAGGTCAACAGTCCCACGAATGTGACAAAGACACTGACCCAGTAAGAGCTGTTATCATCCTACTTGTCCTTCTAGTTCTCCCTAACTTAAAGATTCCTAGATTGACAGGCCTTGGGGCTGGGGTCTCTCTCATAGCCTTGCCTGCCTGGTTCAGTTCTGATTTGCACCACACAGGCTGCAACTCACTCCCAGTCATAGGTAGAGTTCCTGAAGAGCAGGGACTAGGGCATGGGGGTCTCTTCAACCCTCCAGCGCCAGGCACAGGCCTGTCCCAGCCAGTGTGCCTGACAGCCGGCAGGACTCACCATCTTGCTGAAGTGGTATTTGCAGTAGCCACAGTACTTGACATTGTCCACCTCCAGCACCTCTTCCTCACACAGCAGGCCTGCCATCTGGGCACTGAGGAGAGGCAGGTCAGCGGGGTGTAGCCACAAACCACAGCTGCCCCCACCTCCGCCCTCCTGGACCCAAGTTCCAAGCATGCCATCACCACCATCTCTCACAAGACAACCCCACTCAATAGCCATCACAAACCCTGAAGCAGTTTGGGAATCTCACCAAGTGACATGAAAAGCCTGTCGACAACCATGGCGGTTACAGGTCATGCAGGCTCCTGAGGCAGCTTTGCTCTCTCGGCCCTGTTCCTCACAGATGTAACAGGTCTGCGGGGCACAGCACAATTGACCCATCCTCCAGGGAACCCCACCTTGCCTGCTGAGGGATTCTATGGCCTCCCCTCAATTCCATCCTGTCCCCCACCCCCCCAGATCAGTGCCATCTAACAGAATTTTCTGCAGGAACAGAAATGTTGGTCTCTAACCTATAAACAACACAAGCCCCCAAGCACTTAAAATGTAGCTGGTATGACAGAGGAAATGAATTCTGAATATTCAAAAGTTTGTTTTTATTTTATATGAATGAGTGTTTGGCTACATGTATGTATGTGTACCACATTGTGTGTCTGGAGGCCATAAGAGTACACTGGATTGATTCCCTGGAACTGGAGGGAAACATGGTTGCACACTGTCACCTGAGTGCCAGGAACTGAACCTGGATTCTAGGCAGCAGCAGCAGCAAGTGCTCTTAACCACCAAGCCACCTCTTTAGCATGAGCATTCCATTTTCAATGCACATCCTCATATAGCCAGCACCACCCTTGTTAAGGTCTGAGAAGCTGGCATCGATGTTAGCCTAGCTCCCTGACACCTGCTGGACCTCTGCATATGCTGTGTCTTTTTCATGGAAGTCAGTTCTTTCTCATGGCCCAGGTCTCAGCCTAAACATCTCCTTCCTTAACCACCTGATACCCAAGCAAGCCTCACTGGGTGTCCTTTATCTCAATGCCTGTTGACACATCTGTCTTGACTAATGGCAAGCACTGGGTGCCTGCTGTACTGTGTCTGGCGCATAGTAGAAACTCAAGAAAAGAAGTGCACTACTCACTAAAGGCTGATCTCTGGCTGTGCTACCTTGAGGAAGCTTACTGTTCTGCCAGTTACAGAACATGCACAGAAGTAAGTATCCACCCATCTCCTGAGTTCCCCCAAGACAGAGAGTATAAGGGTGGCACCCCAGGACGGCAGGCCAGGAAGGGGACTAGTAAGGGGCCACTGACCTTGTTGAAGCGATCATGAGGTACATACTGCAGCACAATGGGCTCCATGGTGAGCACGTTGGCAAACTGCACCTCCGGGATGTAGAGGGCACACACCACGTGGGCCCAGCCTGGGGCAGTGTGGGGATTAGCCTCAGCAGGACATCGAGCTCAAGACCCCACCCCTCCCAACATGAAGCTGTAGACTGACCCCTGCTTCCACAACCTTCCTGTACCAACCAGAGCAGGGAGAGCCAGCCTCCACCCCACACCTGCTCAGGGGGCCTGGCTGACCTCTGCAGGTGTTCAGGGTCCCCTCACCTCCATTGTCAGTCCTCTTCAATGCCCCATCTTTGTGTGGGCACAGCTCACACCTCTGCCAATGCAAGGAGCACACGGGTTGGGGGACTCTGCTGACCTGGGCCCTCCCTGATCTCATATCCAAAAGGACCCAAGATGACATAAGATCTGGGCAAGGGGGTGGGTGAAGGTGTACAGGAAAGAGGCTTGGCCATGAGCTCCTAACCGCTGAAGACTAAGGAGGACCTGAGGTTCATTCATGAAGCCCCTCTACTTCTGCAGCCTTGACAACCTTTCATAATAAAAAGTTACACACACACACACACACACACACACACACACACAGAGCACACATACACATAAAAATCAAAGCCCCCATGCTGGAGGTGGGGCAGTGATGAGCAGAGGGAGGGATGGGGCTGGTGATGGGGGTCAGGAAACAGGATATCCTGAGTGGCAAAGTTTAGTTCTGCCCCAGCCTCAGGGTACCCTAGCTCAACCTGCAGGAGATGTTCAGATATGGAAGACAGAAAAGGGAAAGAACAGAACTCACCACCCTGGCTGCTCGCTCCTGAGATTCACATTTCCTGCAGAACCAGGGTCCAGTTGGCACCTGGACGATGCCATAGCAAGCTGAGGATAGGGGAGGAGAGTCACTGAGCAAAGCCCTCAGCCACTGGTTTTTTTCCCTGAGTAACTGGGGCGGGGAGACTCAGCGGACTAAAACCAGCCCAGGAGGTGACCCTGGGTCACTCTGAAACAGGACCACAAGAAATGTCCAACAGCATAGAACCAACCTTCCATCAAACTGCCAAGCATTCCAAACAGCGGCAAAAAGTCTGACAGTCCTTGACCTTAAACTTACAACGACCCTCCATCCTCATCCCCCCCCCCTTTTTTTCCTGGACCTGCTTCCAGTCCTCTGCCCTGAGCAATCCCTCAGGCATCAGAACAAGAAATAGTCATGATTGTAACACGTTTTGTTGTTATGGGGGTGGGGGGGCACTTCTTAAAGGGCCAGTAAGGGATAAGGAAAGGAAGTCGGGGGTCCAGGAGCGTCTTTTTCTGCCTCTATCACAGGTCCAGGTCAAAAGTCAAAGCTGAGCAGGTGCGGTGCAGGTAACCAGAGGAGACTGGCGGGAAGAGCCCGCAGCCACAACGATAAGGGTTGTCTCAGGAAGGGGGGGCCGGTTGCCTGCGCCAGACAGGCGGAGATGCCAGTCTGAGCCCTCGGCAAGATTCCTTAAGGAGTTAACTCCCGAACCATGTGCTGCTGGGGGAAACTCCAAACCTCCCTCTCCTCCATTCCGTCCCCCTGTACCGCCGCTCTCCCAGCCTCAGCTCTTCCCTGGAGGATTTCAGGAGTCCCTTCTCCCGTGGGACCCTTCTCCTCCCTTCCTAATTCCGCTCCTCCCAGTATCCGGAAGCAAGGAGGGATGACCCCCCCTTGACCTCTTCCTCCCGTAGCGGGAACCAAAATAAACCGGGCGGGAGGGGGAACACCTCACAGGTAAACATTCCCGGGACAGCACCGACCCCGGCGGTGCAGGGCTCAGGGAGTTCACTCCTTGCTCCCTGGACTCTCCCCCAAACTCCTTCAACTTGGGGTGGGGGGCGCAGGACTGGAACAATAGGCAAGAAAACAATGCCTGACCCGGTCCTGGAGGACCAGGCTGGCGGGGGGGGGGGGAGCCCACGCCGCCCTTCGCTTCAGGTGGGTGGGGGAGGGGCGCGCGCCCCAGGAGGGCTCCGGAGGGCGCGGCCGAGGGCACCCGGTGTGCGCGCCGCCCCGGGGTCCCGCAGCCCCCCCCCCCGCCTTACCTTGGTGGACGGCCACGCTGCATGCGTGCCCATCGCAGTAGACCAGCGGGTTTTCGGCCCAGCCCCTCTCGTCCGAACATACGCAGCAGCCTCCTACCATCTCCTTCATACTCCCATGAGCTCCCTCCGGGGCTGGGGCTGGGGGCCGGCCGGCGGGGGTCGGGGGTCAGAGGGGGAGGGAGGGAGCGGGGGCCGCGCGCCTCCTCGCCCCCTCCTCCGCCGCCGCCGCCGCCGCTTCTTTTCTTTGCCTCCTCCTTCCTCCTCCTCGGCGTCCTCCTCCTCCTCCTCGCTCGCTCTGTCTGGCCGCCCCCCCCGCCGTGCTCTCGCCCTCATGCCCCGACGGGCCCCCCCCCCAACAATGAGACTCGCGCGCCGCGCTCCTCTTCCGCGCCGTTCGCCGGCTACCAGGGCCGCCCGGCCGCCGTGCAACCCGGGCCCGGCGGGGGAGGCGCCGAGTGGCACATCGCGGGCGCCCGCCCGCCCCGCGCCGCCCCGCGCCGCCCGCTCACGCGCCGCCCCCCCGGCCCCCCTGCCCGGCCGCGGCAGCCATGGCCGCGCGCCTCCGCTCGCTCGCTCGCTCCCGGCCCGCCCGCCGCCGGGTAAAGTCTTAGGTTCAGGGAACAAAGCCTGGCTTGGTAGGGAGCTTTTCGCTCGTGCGCTCCGTGCAGCTTTTCCCGTCTTTTCTTTTCCCTTTTATGATTCTAGGTGGATAGTTCCCGAGCACTCTCCTCTGCAGGTCCTCGGTGTCACACTTTGGGTCTCCGATCGCCCCCCCCCTTGTTCTGCAACCATAGGGGAATCTGTGGAGAGGTTTAAAAAGGGGGGGGGCTTTAAAAGGAACTGGGCGATGTGAACTATTCGCCCATGCTTGTTCTTGGGATGGGGGAAGGTGTCTCTGGATGGCAGCTCATGGTCAGTGTCCCTGGAGGGTAGACAGTGTCACATGTAAACTTTTACGTTTTTGTTAGTTTGAGAGCCGGCAGTTCAGGCTGGCCTTGAACTCACTGCTTGGTCAAGGATAACCTTGAATTCTTTAATCTGCCTCAGCCACCCGAGTGCTAAGAGTAAAAGCATGCACCACCACGCCCCACACAAATATTTGTTGGCTAGGTTAGCATCGGTTGGCCGCCAGAGTAGGTATTCCTGCCCTCCGGGAGCTTCCCTTTGAAGTAGTTACTCTCAAGATTTCTAGACACCTTTGGGGTACGCCGAGGTACCACAGTTTCATCCAAGCCCCACCATCTGATTTCTCAAAGACCTAACTCCACCTCCAGCTTCAAGGCGTGCCTAAAGATTTAACGCTAGCTAAGAGATCGCTACCTTGGAGGCCCTTGCAAACAGAATCACGCCTGACTTCTGGGCGTGCACACAAACACAATAGTGCTCACAACCGCAAAACGAAGGATTAAAGTCCCCGAAATTGGGTCTGGGGTTTAGGGGAGGGCGACCCAAGACTCACCCCCCCACACACAATGGTCTAGGCCCAAAGACAAGACCTGATCCCCCTTTTTTCTTTACAAGGGAGAGCCGGCGTCCTCACTGGGACCAAAGGTCAAATACCCCCTCAGCGGGAGGTTGGGTGGCTGAGGGGAGACCGCAGCCCTGGGGGCTTCATCCACACTTCAAAGACCTCTAGGCCGGGATCGCTTCCTGGGGGGGGAGGGGCAGAAGGCTGGGAGAGGAGATGGCGGGCTGGGGGATTGAGGGTGGAGGGGCCGCTCCCCCTTCAGCGCACTGGCCCCCTGGCCGACTCTTCCGCCGGGTCCGCCTCCTTTTCACCAGCACCTGTTCAACCGGAACATCAAGGGGCCAAGGCCCGCAGCTCCCCCTCCCAGTCTCTTTAGTACCTTTCATCCCGGAAGGGGGGGTGAGTCCCCGCCCAGGAGGGGGAGCAGGGCGGGGGAGAACTTGTCCTTGACCTGGTCTGTGGCGTCAGGGATTTACTCCCTTAATCCTGGCGAGGCGGGGGTTTGGGGAGGTCTGTGAAGCTGATTTCTGGGCTGGAGCCCCCAAATCTGCTCACTCCTGGACCCTGGGAATCCGGAGGCTGCCGGGGCCAAGAGGCTGTCTAGAGAAGTGGACCTAAGGTAGTCGTATCTTGTGACTTCTGGATCAGGACTCGTCGAGGGCCGAGATCTTCTTGGCTACGACTGTTTTTACTCAGACTGAACTTCGCTCATACGAAAAGTTAACTCAGAGGAAAAACTTTACTTGAAGGTTTTAGCGAATTGCTACTACTACTTCAGGAAAACCGCGAAAATGTCTGCCCTACCTTTGCGACAGTTTTAAAATATCGGAATATTTACCTCTTGAACCCTTACTGTCAAAGTGGCCAGAGTTTCGGGATTCGCCGGACGGGGGTTCAAAGTCACGACCCTTTGGTCCCTATGCCCAGGAATTGGTGACCTGGGATGGGGACAGGGAACGGATGCCTGTCTTGAGTCCAACATGTCCCCAAAGCTTTTAGGATGGATGTTTGATGCATGTTTAGCGTTTTAGGAACGCAGTTTGATTAAATTCTTCCCCACGACCTTTTAAGGTGGGTGGAAACGTCCACCGTTTTGTGGAGGGACTGCGACGTGAGTTAAATAACTTGGTCAGAGACGCATAACTTGAACGCTTGAACGCTAGAGCCAAGGTTTGAACCCAGTCTTGTCTTCTGCTAAGACTCGGACTGTGATACTGTGACTCCAGCCTGTGGAGAGCTGAACTGCCCGTCTCTTCCCCCACGCGCTCTATTGTAAGGGATCCCCTCTGGTCCTGGGGAAACTCTGCAGGCTTGGCTGGGTTCGCCGAGGGTACCGGGGCGGGAGCTGTCAGGCTCATTCTCCAGCTTCCAACCTTGTCCTGAGCGTCCACTTTGTGCATAACCACAAAAAGCAAGCAGGAGCAGGTCTCGACCAACAAGTGGTTCAAGTTCATAGTGCTCTCCGTAGTATGACTTATTACTGAGTTGAATGTCACGTTTATTCTGGCCGTACAGCTTTCAACTCGTGGGCTCAGCAGGTCCCTCCAATAAGCGGGGCGTTATCGTGCGGCGTGGACCGGGAATACCTTCGTAAAGACCAAATACACACAGTAGGCACTCAACCCCGGTGATTCCTCTCTACACCCGCCAGCGAGGCGCGCCAGTGCATGCAGCGCATCCCTTCCCCGCTTCTCGCACCTCCGCCCGCCTTGCACGTCCCGCCGCGAAGGGACTGGGGCAGAGAGGGCGAAACAGAAAATTATTTCCACCCTCTCGGCCCGCCCCGCCCCGCCCCGCCCCTCCCGTCCCCGGAGCCAGAAGGGGATTGTGGGGCCGCCTTGGCCGCCGCAGGAGCCGAGCGGGGCGGAAGCGCGCGCCGTGCTGCTGCTCGGGCCCGACCGCGCCGGCCCCCCGCACCTCCCGGCCCAGGCTGCGGGCTGCGGTCGGGGCGGTCCCGGGCCCAGGCGCCTGCCGCGGGGCGCGCTTCCGCGAAGTCTGGCTCGCTGCTTCCCGGAACGGAGCGGGGGAGGCAGAAGAGTGGCGGTTTCGGTTTTTGCCCTACCCTACATTTGCTTTCACCGGTCCCCGGGGCCGGGGGTACGACCTCTCTGGGCTAATAGGCAGACGTAGGCTGGAAGAACGGACTGCGCGGGTGCCCACGGGCGGATTTGCTTTTCTTTATTCCTTCTTTGCGAACTGTTTTCAACCCCCAAAGCAAAGCTGCTGACCTTGGGGGACTCGTGGAGAGGTTAAGTGCCTTTCCGGAGGTAACCTAGCCAGTGAGTAAGAGGATTCTAGTGATCGGGTAGACCGACCTTGCATGGGGTAGAGGGAACGCGGACGGGCGAGGAGAAGGGTACGTTCTACTTGATCTCAGGTGCCTACACCAGTCCTGCCATTTACTAGCTATGACTGGTTAGAATACATACTTGAGCTCTTCAGTTTCTTCAAAATACGCTATACCAAACCAAGATTTAAAAGGGGCAGGTTGCCTGTTGCTATCAGGGTGCAAGGACGGGCGATTTCCCACCAAAGGTGATGACCGCCCATGACCTATCTAGTGGGGGAAGGGACATGAGGCAGCACGTTCGTTCGTTCCTAAATCGCAAGCGCTGTGCAAGATGTTGCTCAGGGGCCCATCTGAAGAGGAACCGTGGGAGTTGGGGGCTTTCCCAGGCCGTAGGCTGTCCAGAGTCATCGCTGTTGCAGTGGCCCCGAACATGTGCTTTTCACACATGTTCACAGGAGCACACAGCACTTGGGGTTTGTAAGCAAATTCATGCAAATAGCTTTAGTTTGCCAAACTGTAAAATGGAGATAATTAGATCCTCTTTCTCCAGCCTGAAGTCCTGGCAGGTGCTTTAAGAACCATGTGAGCTTCAGCAGTACCCGTGGCGGGGAGGGGGGGGGGGGAGAACAGTGACTTCCTCTAGGGAGTTAGGATGAGTGGGAAGGGTTTTGAAAGGTTCGTGGGGTAAGAGTCATCAGCTTCAGAGTTTCTTGGAATGTGATCCTAGCCTCCCTCCTTAGCCTCTAGCCTTGTGTATAGATAGTAGTTACCATCTGACAGTAGGTTGGGGGTTTCATCTCGGAAGTCCCCTTGGACTTAACACTGAGTTGGTTACTGCGTTCCCAGTCTGGGGATGACTTGATGACTGGTAGGTTTTCCCTACCAGGTTCCTCTGTGCTATCAGTCCTTCCTGAAGTCTCTCTCACGTTCATCCCTCTTGTTGTAGTTAGAATCAGACAGAAGTCGAGAAAGTTCAGCCAGTATTTCAGTGAATCCTGGGGCTGGCAGAGAGCCATACACAGGTAACACCTGGGCTGGTGGGAATGACAGCGATATAGAGAAATCACTCATTCCACATGGTGGGGCAATGGGATTGTTGTGAACAGTTCCTGCACTGTAGTGTTTATGAGGTCAGGAAAGGCATGAGCTGGGGCCCAGTGTGTGAACAATGTCTCATAGGCAGATGGAGGCAGAAGAAATTCCAGGCAAGAACCCAGCACTCTCAGACCAGGAGACCCCAAACCAGTGTGCTGAAGTTACATTTTATAATAGCCGGATCTTAGCAGGTGTAGCTGGAGAAACCACAGTAGGAATTGCAATAGAACTACAGGTTAAGAGACTTTCAGGGTCTTTCCAGAGTGTCTGGGCTTAAACCTGGGGGTTAAAGACAGCACTTAGGGTTCATAAGCAATAGATACAACTAGCTTTGGTTTGCCAAAGAGTAAAATGGAGATGATTAGGTCCCCCTTCTAGTTGTGCAGCCCAAGAATAGAACCCAGGGCCTTGGCCTTTTAGGTAAGATGTGGTTGGCCATATGTGTTCACTCTACTTCCCTCAGAGATTGCCTAGGGTTGGGTGGAGTCTCGACGTTGGGGGGTGGTTCGGACAGTAATTCTCAATCTTAAAGTTCATGTGAACTCCCAGGGATTTTTCATTCAATTGCGGGTTTTTTTTGGTTTGTTTGTGTTTTTGTTTCGAG